AACAAATGTAGCAAGCCTCGTCTTCAAATGTTGCGTTTTTGATCTCAATGGACGTTGAATCAACTGACGATGCTGTGAAATTGACTTTTCCGACATATTGGTCATCCACGTGATCCTTGAAGAGGTCGCTGTATGTAGCCAGAGTTTGTACGGGTTCCGTGTCGCGCACCCGCTGCCAGGTGACTTGTTTGACACCAGACGCATCTGACAGCGCACAAGAGAATGAAGCATCTTGACCGAACTCAACAGCTGTGTCTCCTTGTGCTACAATATCTGAAAAAGCTGCGAAATGAAAAGTTATTAGGTTACAAACTTAATACAGTTTTGTCTCGAAAAGAAATGCAATGTATTGAGTGAAAAATTAAATAATGTCCAACCTCTGTTTATGAGGCTTAAAATTAAGATCAGTAGACGCAACATGTCGAATGGTTGGTATGATCTGTTTGTAATCAGACACAGCTTATATGGTGAAGCAGAAATAGGCTACGGATAGTGGAAATATGAATTCCCCACAGGCTATTACCGGTTGTGAGCGTTACTTTCGTTTAGAGGACATTTTTAGGGTTTCCCGGAGGTATGGTTTCGCGTTATATCCAACCACGTGTTGAAGTGACCTTTTTTGTGTCCTGAAGTAGTAAACTAAACATAGGCTACACTAAACATTCAACTCATACTAAATGACTTCAAGAAATGGTATGACATTTCTGAAATATGAATGCAATATAGACATATGTAGGCTATAAGAGTTATGTAGGCTATAAGGCAATGTAGGCTATAAGATTTCATTCATGTAGACTGAAATTAATCATTTGCCAACTTTAGCATCTGAAGTAATTATTGGAGTTTCCTGTTTAAATAAACAAATGATTGTGTATTATATTATGGCATGTAAAATGACTTGACACTTTTGGGAATGGATCATCATGTTAAACAGGAACCAGTAGTATTTCCCAAAAACTGAAATAACTGCTGAAATGGTTTTTATTTTTGCGGTCTCCTTTCATGTATTTTGGTAAATATCGTGTGTATTCAAGAGGTCACGGTATTCAGATTCAGCATTCCACACTACTGTACGATATGATTTTGGGGAGTCTGAGATTCTTCATAATATTGTGTCTATAGAAAATGATACAAAAATATGTGTCGGAAATACTAGTAATCTCTCCACTTTAATTAATTAGCTGTTAATTATGAATCAAATATTTTATCGACGTGTATTTTTATTTACACGGTGAGTAACACCGTGTCTACAACAGCTAAAGTCTGCCTACACTGGACGCGATCAAACAACGTTGAAAACCATTTGAAATTTGTGTCAGCACATCATAAATAGAACCCGGCAGCAGTTTTCTGTCGGGGATTTGTTGCGCCGCGCCGCTCACGTCCGTAGACACGGTGTAACATTGGTTTTGCTTTGTTTCACAGAACTAATCGTTGCCTGGGTTGCGTACGTATATGTGGGGCGGAGCTATCAAAATAGGGGCAAGACCCTTTTGGGGTAGGGGCGTGTTTGTTTTGGTGATTTCAAATATCAACATTGGCTACCAGAAATCACTTACTCTGCCTTTAAGCAAAAAAAAATGATATATCAGAAAAAATAAAAATGTAAAAGTAGGTTGTTGGTTGTATTTATCAGTGGATTAATCAAAATACACTAGAAGGCTAATGAACTTGAACAAAACAACTACTACTTTTGTGTGCTGTCTATAATTTACTGAGTTGATTAGCATTTATATGTACTTAAAGGGTTAGTTCACCCAAAACTGAAAATTCTGTCATTAGGCTACTCACCCTCGTGTCGTTCCAAACCTGTAAGACCTCCATTCATCTTCGGAACACGTGTTCAACCGTAATTTTACGAAGCTACGAGAATACTTTTTGTATGAAAAGAAAATAGAAATAACGACTTTATTCAACAATTCATCTCCTCCGCGTCACCCTAGCCCCATTTTGGAGAGTATCCACTGAACGTAAACAGCGTATGCTGTTCTGTGTCAGCTGCGCCACGCTGATACGTTAGTTCAAATCTTCTTCTTCTTCTTCTTCTTCTTCTGGCTTTAACAAAAAGGTGCATTCCCGCCACCTACTGAGCTGGAGTGTGGTTCATTGATGGAACAGGAAGAAAGAAAAAAAACAATTAAGGAAAGGACCACTAATAATAAATTGGCTTCTAAATCCTCTTAAACAGATGCACCTTTCTTAAATATTTCATTAATACTTTATATACTCTCTGACTTTCCAAGCCATTATTCGGCAGTTTTTTTAAGTGTAATATTTCCTATCCCCATTTCTTTTAACTTTTCCACCAGAATTATCCTTTCATTTTGATAAGCAGTGCAATATACTAATACATGCTCTACGGTTTCTGCTAATCCACATAGACTGCAATTCCCAGACTCATGTTTGTTCATTCTATACAGGGAATGATTAAGAGCTGAATGCCCAAGGCGAAGTCTGGTAATGATTGTGTCTTCTCTTCTACTGCCACGACTTCCACTTTCACCACCAATTTTATTTTGAATCTGATTAAAATGTCTTCCTTTTTCCTCATTCCATTGTACTTGCCATTTGCCTTTTATAGCTGTTCTAATTATAGCCTTAACTTCTTTACAAAGTGGAATATTCAGTTCTATATAAGATAATTTCAGCACCTCCTTTGCTAGATGATCCACTTCCTCATTTCCATCTACTCCCACATGTGCTGGAACCCACGGGAAACAGATCTTGCTTCCTAATGTATTTACCCTGTACATACTTAAAATAATTTCATATAGAATATCTTGTCTTGAGGATCTCCCACTAATTAGACTTGATAATGCTGAGAAAGAATCTGAGCACATCACCACATTCATTGGTCCAGAATCCTCCATCCACCTGGTAGCTAACACAATTGCTGCCATCTCTGTTGTGTAAACTCCTACTTGATGTTCGTTCAAATCAAAGCGTAAAACGTAGAAAACGTATCCGCGTGGCGCAGCTGACACAGAACAGCATACGCCGTTTAAGTTCAGTGGATACTCTCTACGTTTCTGGACCTTGATCATGGTAATTACATTGCTGTCTATGGGAGGGTCAGAGAGCTCTCAGAATTCATCAAAAATATCTTAATTTGTGTTCCGAAGATGAACGGAGGTCTTATGGGTTTAGAACGACATGAGGGTGAGTAATTAATGACAGAATTTTCATTTTTGGGTGAACTATCTCTTTAACATGCCAAATTGTTAATGGACAAATTTGTTTATTAAATTTGCATCCAGTGGACCAATGCCGTGTGAAACATGCAAGCACTGAAGGAAGTGCTGGGTGTTCTGCACTTCCAGTAAAGTAAACAAATGAGTTCGTATGCGTTGTCAAAGCCAAAATTTCAGTACAAATTTGCTGGAAATTTACTCACCCTCAGGCCATCCAAGATGTAAAGTTTGTTTCTTCACTGGAACATATTTGGAGAAATTTAGCATTATACAGTATCACTTACTCACCAATGATCCACTGCTGGGTGCCATCAGAATGAGAGTCCAAACAGCTGATAAAAATGTCACAATGATCCACAAGTAATGCAGATGACTCCCATCAATTAACATCTTGTGAAGCAAAAAAGCTGTGTGAAACAGGTCTGTCATTAAGGTGTTTTAACTTTAAACTGTCGCATTTGGTCCGCTATCGTAATAATGCCTCCTCCAGTGGAAAAGTCCTGTTGTCCTCTTGCATTAAAATCCACCGACATATTTGTTTAGAACTGTTTTCATTTTTAAACAGTGCTTGGCCTGTATACATTTCTCTCCTAATTTAGATGAGGCAGCTTTTATGTAAAGCCATAGGTACTCATATTTTAGCTGGAAGTGAAGTTTTGAAGTTAAAAATGTCTTAATGATGAACCTGTTTCTTACAGACATGCAGCTTTTTCATTTCACAAGATGTTAATTGATGGACTGGAGCCATGTGGATGCTTGTGGATTATTGTGATGTTTTTATCAACTATTTGGACTCTCATTCTGACGGCACCCATTCACTGCAGAGGATCCATTGGTGAGCAATTGATGTAATGCTAAATTCATCCAAATCTGTTCTGATGTAGAAACAAACTCGTCTACATCTTGGATAGCCTGAGGGTGAGTACATTTTCAGCAAAGTTTTATTTCTGGGTGAAATATTCCTTTAATGTGCCAGGTTTTCATGTGAATAAGGCAAGACCTTTAGTGAATGACAACTTAAATTGTATTATTTGTTACACAAAGTTAGGTATGGATTAAGAAGAAATAAGCTCTCTATGTATTTGGTAATTTTTTTCCATTTTCCATTTCAGGGGGATAGTGGTTACTTTAGGTACTTTCCTTGCAGAATTTAAATCAATACCTAAGTGTGACTCACTGGAATGAGTGTCACTGGATATGACCTAACATACTGTCACTGTCACATGAGAAATTTCCTGTATTAATCAGGTCTGTCCTTTTCATTTGTATAGTGTACTTTTAGTGCTAGAGCACGCCCAACGCATAGAAGAATGGGTTGTGAATAGGCAATACATACAAAGGAATTTGAAAAGGGATGTGTTCTCTAACAGTAATGAAATAATTATTCTATTGCTTTTTGTGGGTTAGTCATCAATGATTGATTGATGATTCAGGAATGTACTTCTGGATCCAACAAGAATATTTTATTAGAGAACTTTGAGCATTATGGACAGGTGACCTGCAGCTTTGCTGAACAGCATGTCAGTTTGTTGTAGATTAGTGGAAAGACGTTTGAGTGCTGTAATGTTTTGTGGCTTGCACATTTTCATGTCTGGCTCAGTGAGTTTCAGTAATGAAAATGGACACCTATGGACTATACATAGTATAGATAAGAAGAACATATTCAACATATATATGAAATTGTTGAAAACCACACGAAATGCACATTTACAAAAGGTTTTGTATATATACACACACACACACACACACACACAAAACAAATGCACAAAAAACAAACAAATCTATTCTATTCGATATAAAATTTCTGAATTGGTAGCATGAACATAATAAATACAAAATGATTTACTGCTTAAAATTAAATTGAGCATATTACTCTAAGACAGACAGCTGTAACAGAATTATTTAAAATCCTATAGACAAATCTCACAACAATAAATAATACCGAATGTCAGGTTGAAAGAACTTAAAGTGCAGACGCAGGATGTAGAAACTGTGGAGAAATGCAGACTCTCTCAGGTAACCAGATATTATTTATACTATTATCTAAAAATTAGCTTATTCACAAATGTAAACATGAAATGACTTTTTTTTAGCAGATGACAAAAGTAGCATCAGAAAGATTGATAAATTCTGAATAAAGTAACAGTTGCACAGTAGTTCAAGCCAAACAAGCAGATTTTTGATCATCTTTATCTGAAAAATAAATAAATAAATAAATAATGAATATACAAAATAATGCTGTTTTTTTACATGACAATAAATATGGTGCTGATAGCTAGAGTGTAATATTTTTCTGCTTACCATTTAACTTGGTGTGAAGATAGGTGACGATAATGACAATACTGATGATAATCAAGACCAGCATCGGAATTATATAATTTCTTATTGTGACTTTATTCTCTGTGAAACAAAAAAGTTTTGGTTTGTGTGTAAATATTGATCATTTTTTATCTTTTACATTTTTTTTACATTACATGTTTTATCATACATAATTTTTTTAGCTTAATTCTGAAATTAACATTAATGCCACATAGTCTATGTAGTTTTCAATCCACTAAGTCACTACCACTCAAATAACTTATGTTTCAGAAGTCAAATCAAGTTACCTTTGTTATCTTCATCAGGCACAAAGATTTGGACGCTCTTCTCTATGCCGTCACTCTGAGCCACACATTCCACGTACTTCCCATGAAACTGTGACAGTGGAAGCGTGAGGTTGCTCGTAATGGTGGTTGAACTGTCTTTGTTGAGAGTTGTGAAATTACTTGACCTAAAGTTGTTCAACTCTTTCTCTGCAGATTTCCAGAAGATAGTTGGAGCCGGTTTACCAGTGGCTGAACATGAGACTACAACATCTGGATCAGAACTAGGTGCAGGATTCGCTGATGCTGTTATTTCTGATACACCTGCAAAAATACCAGCAACATAAGGTCTTATGTCATAATTGTGTACAATCTTTTAATTCCACACACAAAAAAAGTGGATAACTGGCTGCATGCACTCCTTTCATTTTTATGAAACTGTGTGAAAGTTCCAGTTGCATTTTGAACACATTGTTTGGTCCTGCATTGAGATGTGGGAGTATCTTCTGATTCACACCATCCCTTACCAGTTTGGGCATATCTGCATTCTCTTGGATGAGATTGCTTTTTGTGATTGTTTTTTACTTGGACAACATATATTGTACACTTTACTGACAAATTATGGGAGACTGGAGCTAGTTGTCACTTTTTAGTCCAGATAATATTTCTCAGGGTAGGTTTACTTTTTTACTTAAAGTCTTGACTAAAAACAGCTATTAAATATTTTGACTGTTATTGCCCTATAGTTCATTTAACTCACATCAACCTTGTGTTCCCAATAGTATGGAACATTGTCAAACTATATGGGGTAAGTTGTTAAATAGCCATTAAATAGCCTATTACAAGCCATTAATTGCTTTTCAGCCATTTCAAAGCTGCAAAACATCAATGAAACACTAATTCATAAATCAATTTTAAAATATAGTTTTAAAATATAACATATATAAAACCACTGTTTTGGCAAAAGGAGATTGTATAGAATTTCAAACTGAGATGCCCTAGTCCTGAAAACACAGTTCAGTGTTTTAGTTCAAATCTGCCCTTGTTAGCTGATCATTGTGTTTTTGACTCAAAACCTAAGAGAAAAGCTTTGTGACTTTCATGGTTGCAGCAAGTAGTTAACCTACCTTTAACAGTGAGGCACAAGGTTTGTCGTTTAGGTTGGAGTGGATACACTTTGAAGGAACAAATGTAGCAAGCCTCGTCTTCAAATGTTGCGTTTTTGATCTCAATGGACGTTGAATCAACTGACGATGCTGTGAAATTGACTTTTCCGACATATTGGTCATCCACGTGATCCTTGAAGAGGTCGCTGTATGTAGCCAGAGTTTGTACGGGTTCCGTGTCGCGCACCCGCTGCCAGGTGACTTGTTTGACACCAGACGCATCTGACAGCGCACAAGAGAATGAAGCATCTTGACCGAACTCAACAGCTGTGTCTCCTTGTGCTACAATATCTGAAAGATAAGCTGTGGGGAAAAAATGTTGTTATAAACCTCCTGCCATATCCACCCAGTTTAGAAACATCCAGCCAGAGCAGTGTCAGATTTAGCCATATGAATAAGGAGTCAATTACCGACCTCCTCTGAGGAAACTTAAAATGATCAGAAGACGAAGCATGATTGTCTGGCTTCTATCTATGAGTAGATATATATATAGCTTATCTGGGGGAAGTTCCACTAGAAGAGCAAGGGAAATTTGACACGTTGTAATAAGAATACTGTTTATTTTAACCAATGCCTGCTTGCTTTATTATTTTTTTTTTTTTACACATACATGCATATATTCATTAGGCTTTTTGACTTCAAAGATTTAGTTCCTTACAGCAAAGCTGCAGTGGCCATAAAAAGTATTTGGGCTTTTACAATATTGGGCTTATTGTTGTTGCACAGAAAACCGGCACCTCACATGATGATGTTTGGAGTGATCAGGTTTGTTATTGCAAACAAAACTTTGATTCAAATGAAAGTTATGAAGGTGCAAATGATTCCTTCAGTTTTCTGTGAAAATAAACAATAACTAGTGAAAATAAAGAAATGTTAGTCATGCTTTCAGAACTATATTCTTTTTGCATAAGATTCTAATAATCACGTTTACAATAATATTTTTGTGTAAACTGTCTTAAATATTGTTTTAATGTATTTATTGTAATTTAATTATACATACACTAACATGAAAAACTTTGAGGTCAAGTAAGTCCCTTACTCTTTATCTTTTGCTCGTTAGTAACACCATGTGTATAGTTTGTGATCTATCTATCTATATATCGATCTATCTTGTAAATACTTTCATATCAGGAATTTCTAACAGGGTTATCCCGGACTTTCCACAGAAAAGAACACTTACATGTGACTTTGTTACTAAAACACTTCCGCTTTTATTCAAGCATGTCATGGCTTGATGGCAACCCTCTATATCAGACAATCAACAGTTACAGTGTACACATTACAGTGTACACTTTCACTGTTGCGTAAAAGCGACCGACGCATCTGTTAAAAATGTAAATGAAACCTTTTAAGTCTTGACTGACGTGCTTCCTGAGGCTTTACGATAAATCCGGTGAAAAGGCGGTGACTATTCCTGTGAAATACAAGCAGGAAGACCGACGCCGTACTGTCATTGTGTTTTCTTATGAAGAAGATCAGAATAATGCAGAAGACAAACGCATTCATCGTGCGTTTCACAAGAACACATGACAAGAGATAAGTTACATACTGTGAATTCCGTGTTTCCCCAACACATGATACGCAAATCAGACTCTCGATTTAGGCCTGTCAAAATAAAAGCTGCCTTGTTTATGAGTATGAGTATTTATGAGTAAATCGGCATGCTCTGAAAAATTCACGATTTGGATATAACTTTATTTTTCTGTTCAAACATTTGATGCTCATAATGCGTATTGATTTAACCGTAATGAAACTGATAATGAATACTGATTCATTGAGACTATAACATTCTAAGTGTACCAACATTCCCAGGGAAAACCTGGGAATGTTTAAATGTTAAACACCTGTAACACAGTATTTGTGTATTATGTGTCTCAATCTTTGATATAAAATTTCAGTATTTGTCTGCTACAAATCAAAATGGTTTAGAAATATTCCAAAAATGTCTATTACAAATTATTGTCAAGTACAACGAGTGCTGTTGTATCCGGCTTGCAACACTAATAGAAAACAAATTTCTTTTCAATTTTGATTTATTTTGAATTTTGTGCATGCAAAATAAGACACAATATATTTAGAATTGTTAGTGCAAAAAAAAAATGTACTAACAATTCTAAAAATAGTGTGTCCAATTTTGTGTGTTCAGTAGAAGTACAATGGAAAGTGTTACAATCTAGCAGTATTACATTTTTTTTTTATGTATGTATGTAGCCTATGCATGTATGTATTTAGGTGAAACAACATGTCAGTTTCAAGGCAGATGTGAAATTTACTCACAACTTCTGCTGTCACCTCAGAAGAGTTTTCTTTTGCCAAAGTGTTTTTTATATATATATATATATAATTAAATATAAGATCTTATCACTGAAAGATGTTTTTGTTAGTTTGTGCAAATTATGTCATAAAATTCTTTGTTTTTGATCTCATGACATCGGACATGTTATATAAATGTAATTGTGCCGGAGATTAAACTTGCCATATTCTCTTTTTTT